ACAAAAACTTACAAGTGGCATGCTGTGACTGAACGGAGCCTGCTCCCCACATAACTATGTATTTCAATCAATTTCTGAAGGTATCCCCCTCTAAAGATGAAGATTGCCCTGTCTCCAGTTGGTGCTGGCATTAGGAGATCTGCACATCCTTCATGGCTGTGGACAGCTTGCCTGTGAAATTCAAAAAGCTGCTGGTGCCCCAGAAGATTCAGCACATTCTCTGCACCAAAGAGTTACAACTATCTCAAGACTCTACCAGTGATATTCGTATTGTGAGAGGAGACTTCAGTGAGAATCTGAATGATCTAGAACAGAAAGCTGTGGGTGCTGAAGAGTTCAAAATTGGTTTCATCAAGTTATTCCATGGGGAGCTATAGCCAGCTTAGCTCTGTTGCAGAGGCAGTTTGATGTGGACATTCATATTTCGGGACACGCACACAAATTTGAAGCATTTGAGCATGAAAATAAATTCCCCGTTAACCCAGGTTCTGCCACTAGAGCATATAATACCTTGGAAACAAACCTGCTTCCTTCATTTGTGTTGGTGAGCATCCAGATTTCTACAGTTGTCTCTTATGTGTAACAGCTAATGGGAGATGATGTCAAAGTAGAATGAATCAAATGCAAAAAAATCTTAAAGCCAGGCCTGTCTTGAATTTTGTGTTTGTTTGTTTTCCCATTTCCCTGTTTAAATCACATAATTAAACATTTAAAGGCACAAATTGTATCACTTTTATAATATTTTGCAGTAAAATTTAATATCTTTTGTTAATATATAATTGATGTAAGCTTCTTGTAAGTTAGAAGAATGTATTTCGTTTACAGCATGTGATTTCTATGAAAAATTGTCTGTCACATAATAAATGATTTGCTGTTAAGTTTATTCTTTTAAATAGCTTTCAAAGCCAACTCAGAGCAGTGGTACATGTTACAGAGGAGAATGTTATCTAGGGTTCTCTTGGCTGTAATCTTTACAGAAGCAGGTCTTGAGGCCTTTCTCTCATGGAACCATTGGGTGGTTTTGAACCACCAACCTTTAGGCTAGTGGTCACTAGGTGTCAGTGAGTAGGCTGTACCACCCAAGGACCTACTGGAATAGCAGTGGGGTGAAATGCAGATACACCCAGAGGTCAAAACTTGAACGTGTAACCCTCCCCAAATCAGGACACATGTTCCTGCTGGTGGGCAGGGTCTGTAGTCAGCCTATAGACTGGGAAGATTCATGTAATAGGACGTGGGGCAAGAAGGGGACTAGACACAGGTGCCCTGGCTCCAAATAGACTACTCAATCCTGAACTAACCATAAAGAGGCTTCAGGCTGCTTTTCGAACATCAAGCTTACTTCTACGTCAAAATGAGGTTTGCGGGACCTGCAAGTAGACGTCAGGAGACCTGTAGGTTAGTTTTCACCAGTAAATCAAGTGCCCACTCTGGACCTCATTTTCTCATGTGTAAAGAGTGATTAATAATAGTAATTGTTGTTATTGTTATTAACTGCCATCTATTCTGGAGTTCCTGGGTGGTGTGAACTGTTAACATGCTCAGCTGTGAGCTGAGAGGTTGGTGTTTGGAGTCTTCTAGAAGTCCCTCAGAAGAAAGGTCTAATGAACTACTTACAACAACAACAACAAAGCATCGAAAACCGCATGGAGCCCAGTTCTAGTCTGATACACATGGGGTCGCTCCAAGTAGTAATCAACTCCATGGCACTGGTTTTTGTTTGTTTTATTAATAGTAATATCTATGATTTATTAGGAGTCTTGGTATGGTGCTGCAGGATAAGGACTGGACTGCTAACCTCAAGGTGGGAGGTTCAAACCCCCCAGCCACTTGGAATCCCTATACAGGTTGACTATGAGCCAGAACTGACTCAAAGATACTGAGCACCTTTTGTGTTAAGTCAATTGGTCAGTCTTCATAACAAAGATCTATAAAGTCACTTGATCCCAATTTGACAGATAAAGAAAATGGATCCTAAGATCCAGAGATTAAGAAAGTTGCCCTGAACTTTTCAGCAGGTAATCAATCAATCAGTGAAGCCAGACTTTTGGTCCCAGCTCTGTTTGATGTCAAAACTTGTCCTGATAACTACCTGTCTCTTCTACCTCTACTATTCGATAATCAAGTGCCCCAGGTGTGATGTGCTCATGGAAGAGATACCACTTCCTCTGTCCAACTCCACATCCAGAAGCTCAACAAGAAAAGTGTCAGCCCATCTCTACCCAGCAGGGACTCAGCATGTTGCCCCACCAACAAGGACAAAATGTACTGAGAAGTGTTGTTGCAGTGGGAGGAGCCGCAGAAGTCTGGATGGACCATCTCTCAGCTCAGCCAAGCTACAGGTATAACACGTGGCTCCGTAGCTTTCCCAGAGGTCCGAACTGAGAATACCATCTGTATAACAGGTGTTGATGGGTCCCCTTGCTAATCTCTACTCCCACCACGTTCACCCTCACTTACTCTACTTCTATTTGTATCTCAAAGAGCAGCGCATTCCCACCTCAGAGCCTTTGTGCTCGCTGACTCTGCCGTGAATGCTTTTCCTTCCACAGTAAAACCTGTAAAAGCTACAACCTGTGTCTGGCAGAAACCTGTCAGAAAAGGAAAACAAATATTTTCCACTGAAACAAGCAATAGGAAAATGGTAAGGTTCCTGTCAAAGGTGGAAAACTTACAAGACCTGGAACAGCAAGGCAGTTCCACCGAGTTTCAGATTTCATAGATTTCACCGTGCCTAGAAAACACCTCTCCCACAGCTTACCTTGTAATTGAGGTCCCCTACTTTTCTGACCACCCAATCTATGGATTGCACCTCTGATCCACTAAGGATTGAATGGTGATCCCCCAAATATTTGTTGATGAATTCCTGGTCCTGGTATGTGTGAATATGATCCGGCCAGGAAATAGTGTGTTATGTTAATGAGGTCATAGGCAAGAAGGCTGGGTCCCAAACCTAATCACTTCTGAATTATAAAAAGACCAGAATAGACACAGATGGAGGGGAGGGGTTAAGGGGAAGGGCAACAACACATGAGGATGTTCTGCAAGCCAAAGAACACCAAGGAACTGAAGAACACCCAAAACTATGGACAAGAAAGGAATTGATGTGGATTTTTAGCCTCCAGAAGTGTGAGAAAATAAACGTCTGTTCTTTAAAAACATCCACTGTGGTATCAGACATGTTTGGTAAGGGGGAGGGTCAGAGAAAAAGAGGAAGACCCCCAGCGAGATGGATTGGCAATATGGCAGCAGCAATGAGCTCAAGTGTGGCAACAAATTGTGAGGTTGGCTCAGGACTGGGTAGTGTTTTGTTCTGTTGTGCAGAGGGTCGCTATGAGTAGGAACCAACTCGACCACACTTATCAACTGTCAACAAGATGATAGTCGTGGTACAGCAGCACTGGGGAATTAAGCCTCTCTGCATCACATCTCCCTCTTTACCCTTTCCTGATGCTTATCACTATCGGAAATGGTTTTGCTCATTATCTGCTTCCAGGCCTACTGGCTTTCTCCAAGGCCCTCCTTCCTGCACCGGCTTCGTGGCAGAATGGACTCAGCCTGTTTGTTCATTTTTGTATCTCCCATGCCTAGCAAAGTGCCTGAGCTAAAGAAAGGTCCTGGGCTGTTGTGGTTTCTGAGGAGCAGCTGGTGGGTTTGAACTGCCGACCTTGCAGTTCAAACCCACCTTGAGGTCCAGTGCATTATTTCACAGCACCACACTAGCACTGCCAAATGAGTACATGGGTGAATAAAGGAATGAAAGAAAAAGCTTACTTTCTTACAGCAATGACCTAGGAATCCCTATTCAAAAATAACCCCCTCTTCCTGGTTAACAAAGGCAGAGACCAGAGGAATAACAGTGTGGTTGGGAGCAACCAGCAGCCAGCAGTTATACCCACACAGGCTACCGGGCACGGTTCCAGAGCTAAAAGGCACTAATTGCTTTTATATAAGGAGGTAGAAACAAGCCCCTCAGTGTCCTTCCATCCTGACAGGCTGCATTATCATATCTGTTACTGTGTTGGTTGTTCCTGTCTCACACAGCCAGTGTGGGCTTTACTCTGGATACAACAGGGATGGTGACAGCTACCTATACAGGAAGGAGAGGTAGTATGGAAGTGTGTGTTTGCATGTGTGTGCATTCATGCATGTATACATGTATGTCCCTGTTTGTACATGAATGTGTGTATCTATATGTATAGCATATGTGTGCAAATGTTTGTGTGTGTCTCTGTATGGGTCCATGTGTCTCCATGTGTACACATGTGTATATCTCTATGTGTGCTCATGTGTTGTGTGTAATGTGTGTCCCGTGAGTACCTATGTGTGTTCATCCACATGTGTGCACATATATGTATCAACTGTGTGTCCCTGCATTGTATATGTGTACATGTGTGTCCCTGTGAGTGACCATGTGTGTTCGTCTGCATGGGTATGCATATATGTATCGACTGTGTTCTCCTGGATTGTGTGTGTACATGTGTGTGCCTGTGAGTCTCATGTTTGTTCATCCACATTTGTGCATATATATGTATCCACTGTGTGCCCACATTGTGCGTGTACATGTGTGTTCCTGTGAGCATCCATGTGTTTTCATCCACATGTGTGCATATATGTGTGTCCACTGTGTGCCACTGCACTGTGTATGTGTACATGTGTGTCTGTGTGTGTTCATTCACACATGTGTTGCCATGGACCTGTGTGTGCATGTGTGTCAAAGCAGGTACACACTGGAAAGGGTTAACTTGCAGTCTGGCTGTCTGAGCTCAGGGCCTCAAGACTGGCCCAGGAAGGGAGGGACTGACCTGGAAGGTGGCGTGGGCTTGGCTTGCTATTAGCTGCCTCTCCCACGACAGGAGTGCCAATGCCTGCCCAGCTAGCTGGTGCCTGGTGAGCTGAAGGCACCCATAGGAATGGCTGTCAGAGCCCACACCTGGAAATCGTTCTGCCTCTGCCCCTCCACAGCAGGTTCCACCGGGGAGCATCTGGGACCGTTGGAGGAATAAAGCCCAGCGTGAGCTCGTCAGCACTTGGTGGGAAGCTGCGGAAAAGGATGGACGTGCTCGACAGTCTCCTTATGAACGGAAGCAACATTGCCCCTCTCTGCGAACTCGGGCTCGAAAATGAGACGTTGTTCTGCTTGAATCGGCCCCATGCTTCCAAAGGTAGGTGTCAATGACTGATATTTTAATTCAGAAAACTATGAAGTAGAGGGAGAAATCAGCAAAGACAGGCTGATCAAGAAAATAGAACAAAGTTATGGCAAAAAACAAGACTGGAGAAAGTTATGGATTCAGAAGTTTAGATAAGAGATCAAAAGGCAGAGTAAGCCAGATAGTCCTATTGTCCTCCATGGCAGGGGGGCAATGAATCTATAGAACTTGGGGGAACAAAGGCAGTGGGTTGTGGCTCTGAAGTGTAGCAGAAGGCAATGCAAGTGTCAAAGCTGGACGTTACAAGCACGACAGAAAAGGTTCTGTCACAACCCAGCAGGTGCCTTTTCTTGGGGGAAACCTGGCATGAAGAAGTGACTAGAGCGAAATACTGTTCTGCAACTAGGAAAGACAGTGATCCCCTTTCACTTGGGAAGCTTTGTTTTTAAGAAAAAAGTAGTTCCCAAGTAATCCTTTAGCAAACCCATCTTTCAGAGGCGACAAAATCAATCTGTGCTTTCCAGCACAGACAGACTTGGGCTCAATGATAAACGTCTGGAAAAAATAAATAAAGGAAGAAAGAAATAAAAATAACAAGGGTGGCGGTGGTGGTAGAAATGAACAACAAATAACTGGATGCTAAGGTTTTTACATTTTTGCTCTCATAAGCCTTCCGTCTGCCTCATCCCCGGTTCCTCTTTATAGAGTGGCAGCCCGCTGTGCAGATCCTCTTGTATTCCTTGATATTCCTGCTCAGCGTGCTGGGAAACACGCTGGTCATCACGGTGCTGATCCGGAACCAGAGAATGAGGACTGTCACCAACATCTTCCTGCTCTCCCTGGCTGTCAGCGACCTCATGCTCTGCCTCTTCTGCATGCCGTTCAACCTCATCCCCAATCTACTCAAAGATTTCATCTTTGGCAGTGCTGTCTGCAAGACCACCACCTACTTCATGGGTAAGTGGCTGCCAGGGACTATTTCCAGAGCTCACCCTGGGCCCCACTCAGGTCTCAAATCTTCCCAAGCCCCTGACGGCAGTGCCCAAACCCTGAGCCCTTGGTGGTGTGGGACCATGTGCAAGGATGGAGATGCTGGCGTTTTGTCAGGTTAGTCTTCACACTATTCAGAAGCCCACTCTTGCTTTCCACAGCACCGTAGATGAACCTTGAAAACATCATGCTGAGTGAAATAAGTCAGCCCCCAAAATACAAGCACTGTATGTTCTCACTTAGATACAATAAGCAGTTATATAGAAACCAGAGTATGAGTGGCTACCTCGAGTGGTGGGAAGGGGGAGTTTGGGCCTAGAAGGCATTGTTTTTGTTCTTAGGTGCTGTTGAGTTGGTTTGGATTCACACAGACTCTATGTACAACAGATGAAAGACAAGAGTTTATGTTAATGGTGGTAGAATCACCTGGGAAAAGGATAGTGAGAATGGTTAAAATGACATGAAGAATTCAATGAAGGTCATTGAATTATCCATGTACAGATGGTTGAACCGGGGAATGTTTGGTTGTCTATATTTTTACCAATTTAAAGAAAAAGTCCATTTCTAACTGTGAAATAAGTTGGTGTGAAAACACAGAAGACGTTTGCTTTGCTTGCCTTTTGTTTAAAACAGGGGTGTTGTTATTAAGCGCCGTTGAATTGGTTCCGACACATAGCGACCCTGTATGGGATTTCCGATGAGTGTCTGGTGAGTTTGAACTGCCGACTTTGCAGTTCAAACCGACCTTGAAATTGAGTGCTTATCCTATGGTGCCAGTAGGGAAGCTTTTTTTCTGCCAACATTTATAGCATCATTCGCAGGCCATACAAAACTATCAACTTAAAAATCATCCTGTTATATTTGATCAAACATTTAATTAACTCAATTAAGAACAATAAGCGAATGTGATGGGAGTCCTGGTGTGGCGCTGTGGGCTAATGTGTTAGACTGCAAAGTCATTTGAACTGCAAGGTCGGTGGTTCAAGCTCACCAGCTGCTCCTTGGAAACCCTATACAGGGTTGTTATGAGTCGGAATCGATTTGACGGCACTTAACAACAACAATGTGATGGCTGGAACTGCAGTTGACTTGGCAGGGCCAGACCAAATCATTTCATGGGCCTTAGATGGCTCACAGGCCATATGCTCCCCACTCCTCATTTAAAAGTTAGAGGGACACAAGCATCTCTAACCCTTTCTGGAACTCATTGACAGTATCCTCATCTCTACTTGAGTCATGGCTTTTGGGGTGATGGGGTGGCAGAGGGCTGATTACTGGTGTTGCTCTTGTTTACTAGGAACACGGGTTATTTGAAAATCTGTTGGATCACAATTCTAGGGTCCCTTCTCAGGATTCACTTTCCAGGTTGTTCTTCCAAGGTCTTTGAGCATCTCAGGCAGAGTGAAGAGGTCTCTGGCCCGGAGGAGAGGTTACACATGTCAGCCAATCAAGGAGCTGGTCTTGATTAGCTGAGATGTGTCCCTGTCTGCCTGTGCTCATCAATATGATGGTAATCATAAGACTCATAAGAGCTAATATTATTTAGTACTTGTCGTGCACCGGATATTGTACTAAGTGTTTTTACCCCATTATCTTATCTTATTTTTATTCTCAACTACCTGTCATGACCCCAAAGTGTGTGTCATCTTGGCTGGGCCATGCTTCCCGGTGGTTTGGAAGTTATATAATGACGTCTTTTGGTAGTTATGTAATGATGTGGTCATCCCCATGGTGTGACCAGCCAATCATTTGTAAGGGGATTAGGGTGGACTACAACACCCTTACTCACTCAGGCCACAGTCCTGATCCAGTGTTAGGGGAGTTTCCCTGGCCTGCCTCACCTTTTATCTTACAAGAGATGAAAGGAAAGTGAAGCAAGCAGAGAGGGAGGGGCCTTAGGACTATTCATAAAGAAGAGCCAGCAGTGAACCCAGGGTTCCTGTGCCGAGAACCTCCTAGAGGCAGGGGAAAATTGACTCCAAGACACAAGGAGATCTCCAAGGAATGTCAGACCCCAGATGTTGAAAGGAGACAAGGAACTTTCCCTAAAGCCAACAAGAAGTCTTCCCCTAGAATTTGATTTCTAACCATCTAAACTGTGGTGTGGCGCTGCAGGATAATGCACTGGACCACAAGGGCAGTTTGAACTGCAAGGTCGGCAGTTCAAATTCACCTGTCGCTCCTCAGAAACCCTATAAAGGGTCGCTATAGGTCGGAACTCACTCGGCAGCACTTAACAACAAAACACTGTGTGGGAATAAGTTTTTGTTAAGTCATCCACTTGTGATATTTTTGTTACAGCAGCACTGCCCACCCTATGAAGTAAATGAAGGTCTGTTTCCAGTCTCACAGAGTAACATGCCCAAGGATTCTCAGTGGTACATCAAACCAGACTCTGAACGCAGTTCTCTTCCCTCCACTTCCCAATGGGAGTACGCTCCCTCAGTTTACCCACTGCTGTGGTTCTCCTGAGGCTGAACAGAAATAGGTTTCTTGGTTCCCTCTGTCCATCAAATGGCCGTGTCCCTTGACCATTTTGAGAAGTAGTTGGGAGGTGGGAAAAGAGAAGTTCTTTTTGTTAAGACTCAAACTTTGCAAAATATACAAAATCAAGTTGGACTAGGGCAGTCTTCTGTGATGCCTTTATTTTTCCCAGTCGTGGAAGCAGGTGCCAGTACTGACAAAATGATGATGAATTACTGACCCAAGGGCTCGGGACAAATAACCAGAACATGTCAGTGTGTGCCTCCATCCTCTGAAAATAGAAAAGGACTTACAAGTGACGAGCATCTCTGTTAAATCATACCACAATAGTAACAAGTAGCATTGCACAGTGCATTATAACGTTAAGGCACTTCCAGACATATCTTCCGGGGCTCTTATCTAAGAACCCTAACCAGGACACATGAAAGGGGATTTCAACCCGTTTCTTGGTGGTCGCATGCTTTTATAAATGGACTTTTATAAATGGACTCAACATCACAGGATTATTCACTTTAAAATAGTTAATTGTATGGAATATGAATTTCACCTCAATTTTTAAAAATGATTTTAAAGAACCAAAAAGAAAAGCAGGATCATCCTGAAAGTCCTTGCAGTGCAATCATGATTTTATTGGATTTCTAAATACAGCTATTTAGCTTCTTCCCTCAATTTTGTGGTCTTCTCAATACATTAAAAAATTGTTGTTTTGTTATGTGCCGTCAAGTTGATTCTGACTCATAGATGCCCTGCACAGGATTTCCAGGGGGCAGCTGGTGGGTTTGAACTGCCAACCCTGTGGTTCCCAGCCCAGGGCTTATCGTACAGCACCATACCAGGAGTCCTCTCAAAACTATTACTATCAGCTAAACTCCTATCATTTGGCAAAATAAAAAAAGTGTATTTTCCTCATAGGGGTTTATAGTTACAGTGGACCTATTATGCAGGTTTGACTCCGTGAGGAGATTTAGGTTACCTTTGGTCTCTAACCTAAATGCCATTGCTTCCTGAGGGTAAAGTCCAGTAAGATGAAGAGACTCTTGCCCCGGCTATTGCAGTTCTACTTAACGGTTTGGGAGTCATATACTCCTTTTAAACTTTTTTTAAAAGCTATGGAGAGTCTCCCTAGATAAAAGGACATTTCCACTCATAGTTTCAGAAGATTTATCCCAGTATTGCGCTGTAGGATAAGCACTGGACTGCAAGGTCGGTTTGAACCACAGGTCGGCAGTTCAAATTCACCAGTTGCTCCTTGGAAACCTTAGATGAGGTCGCTATGGGTAGGAACCTACTCAACAGCAATGAACAACAGTTGACAACAACAAACACAGTGAGAATCTAAGGGTCCCAGGTTAAGAAGCTCTGCTCCCAAATATCCTTTCCTGTTGTTAGAGGTCATCAAGTCAGCTCTGCCTCACAGGAACTTTATGTACAATGGAAGGAATTGTTGCTCGGTCAAGTCTTATGCCAGTTTCACAACCATTGCTATGCTGAGACTTAGCCAATGTGTGGCTAAAGAAATTGTGGTAACAGATAATCAGTAGAAGAAGAAGAGTAGATGAGTTTAAGGGAATTTCAAAGTGATAAAGATACTTATACACACAGGACAAAAAATAAGAAAACTTCAACTTTGTTTACTGCTATTTTTGTTGTTAAGTGTTGTCAAGTCAGTTTCAATTCCTAGCAATCCTGAATAGGGTTCCCAAGGAGCATCTGGTGGGTTTGAACTGCCAACCTTATGGTTAGCGTTCCAGAGTTTATCCTACAGCCCCACACCAGGACTGTGTAAGTAAATCTCTTAAAATGAGGTTTACTCACTGTCTTCCCCATCATAGCAATAATCCAAGCTCACTCTACAAAATACAGAAAAGGGAAAAGAATACAAAGACAGGGCCTCGTGCCTTCATGCAGAGAAATCTTTACTGTCAATATGGGGTGCTTCTTCTTTCTCTTTCCGTACTATGGATTTCAAAATCAAACAAACCAAAGTACATTTTAGAATTTGGAGTTTTTCAATCTTAACAACACTATGAGCCACAAAGTTGGCAGTTCAAACCCACCACCTGTTCCTCAGAAGCCCTATACAGGGTTGCTATGAGTCAGAACTGACTCGACAACACTTAACAACAACAGCAGTCTGTACTAGAAATTTTCAGAAAGACTCTTAATGCCTACAGCTCAGATCCCAGTGAGCTTTCAAGATTACAGAGCCCTTTTCGAATCTAGGATTTTTAAGGTCAACTTAACTACGCAGACTGTGTTAAAAATTAGAGCTTTTCCCAAAACCACTTCTACGGGAGAAGAACCTATGTCCTCCCCTTGATAATTAATTAATGAGCATCTTCTGCCTAAACAAGGAGTAAGATTGAGATTGAAGCTCAAAAAACTCTTATCTAAAAATTGGCAATGAGGTCGATTTGTAAATGTGTTGTTTTAAATGCTTTAAATTCATTTTGGAACACAGCTGGAAATAAATCTGGTTGTTTTTTTTAAAAAAACAAAACAAAACAAGATCCATATGCTATAGATTTCTTTACCCTCGGAGAGTTTTCCTTTGATACCAAACCTGTGCAATCAGTCATGTTTAAGCTGGTGTGCAAATAAGCATTGGATTTCAGAGCCAACGTAACTGACTTCTTTGTTCCTTTCACAGGCACCTCTGTGAGTGTATCTACTTTTAATCTGGTTGCCATATCTCTTGAGAGATACGGTGCGATTTGCAAACCCTTGCAGTCCCGGGTTTGGCAGACAAAGTCCCATGCGCTGAAAGTGATTGCTGCTACCTGGTGCCTCTCCTTTACCATCATGACTCCGTACCCAATTTATAGCAACTTGGTGCCTTTTACCAAAAATAACAACCAGACAGCCAATATGTGCCGCTTTCTGCTGCCAAATGATGTTATTCAGCAGTCCTGGTAAGGTTGCAGAGTGGTTTGTTGTTGGTTTTAAAGATATAGCTACATATACACATGTATAGGTATAATGTGATATCAGTTTGCAGTATTATGACACGGTAGAATGTATTCCCCAGGGTGGCTCTGGAATCAGCTTTGAGGAGACTTTTTGAGGCAGGGTTGGTGTAACCTCTTTCTAGGATAATAGTCATAGCAAACGTAGAGAGCCCCACTCTAAATGCCACACATATGACAGCCACTCATTTAAACGTCTCAAAACCCTACGCGGTGAGAACTAGTTGCAATGGAGTCGACTCTGATTCACGGAGAGCCCATGGGTAGCAGAACTGGATTGGGCTCCTTAGGGTTTTCAATGGGGCTAGGTTTTCACAAGCAGGTGGCCAGACCTTTTTCCCAAAGCACTTCAGGGTGGACCCAAATCTCCTACCTTTTGGTTAGCAGCTGAGCATATGCACCATTTGCGTCACCCATGTACAGCTAGTATCTTCATTTTACAGATGAAGAAACTGAGCTCTGGAGAAGTTAAGTAAGTTGCCCAAGGTTGTACATCTCATCTAAGCAGCAGAATCTCTTAACCACTCTGGTCAAATGGTGTGTGGGACTAGATGACTTGGAGAGCTACAGTTTTCTAAAGAACTGGCAATGGGACCAGTTAATCTAAAAGCCACATGGGTTTCTAAGGACTGTAGTCATTGTACTCGCATGGGGCACTTTACCAGAAATAAAAAAGCAAGGGTCTGGTACCCACTCTTTTGCTGACTAGCTAGGTGATCTTGGGTGAGTTCACATCACCTCTCTGATCTTTAGGTTCTTTTATCTAGATATAAAAAAAGAAGAATAACTCTACCTCACTGGGCAGCTAACAGCATGCATAAGAAAATGTCATTAAATAACTTAAAAAGGTTATACAACTGCAGGGTATTAGGTTTACTAATTCCAAAGATGTTTTAGAAGCACAGAGCAAGATATTCATAAATGGCTAAAAACTCAGATAATTTCGGCTTTCTCTGCCTTGTTCCTTTCATTTCAACCAAGGAACACACACATAAAAAGAATTATATATTGCATAGGAGAGGGACATTTTCCATGACTTGAAAAGGAATCTTATCAAAACATGTCCAATTGAAATGAGAAATGGCCCAGCCACTGTAAGTGTCTGACAAGTTTATGGCCTAATCCTGCAACCTAACACATGCCAGACTGCTAAAGTGATTTGGAGGCTAGACTCATAAAGGAGGAACCTGCGATCTTTCAGGACTCAGACATGTTTACAGAAGGCATAGCTCTGCCCTTTGAGGCACTATAGATGTGTATGCCACTGTGCTTACTTCATGGGTTATGGGGAATGGAGACCTCTGAGAACATCTGAACTCTTCTCATGGGCCCCCAGGAACTGCCAGAAACAGTAAGAATGCAATATTTTACAAAACTAAGGAAGTTCCCATCATCCCTACCAAAGCATTTGACTACTCTGCTGTTCTAAAGTTAACAATGGTATGTTCTGGAACCAATACTACTTGGCTTGGACTCCCAAACCTCAGCTATATATGCTAGCTGCATGACTTTGGAAAAGTTATTTAAACTCTTTGGCGCTCAGTTTCCCCATCTATAAAGTAGGTAATATGATCATAACCAACAAAACCAAACAAAACCAGCCAATTCTGACTTATAGCAAACCTGTGCAGAGTTTCCAAGGCTGAATGTCTTTACTGGAGCTGAAAACCTCATCTTTTTCTCTGCAGAGAAACTGGTGAATTTGAAGCTGCTGACCTTGCAGTTAGAAGTCCACTGCTTATCTTAAAGTGCCATATAGTATGGGAATTAAACAAACTAATGTAGAGAAAATACTTACCCTGCTGTAGTGCAAATATAAGAAGTCCTAGATGAATGCAAGCTTTTGCAATTTTTAGTATTTTGACTTGATCCACATGCAGACCACCAGACTTAATCTTTGTTGTTGTTAGGTGCTGTTGAGTTGGTTCAAACACATAGGGGTGCATAAGAAACACTATATGAAAGGAAGAAAAGTAGTGAGATACTTCCAGTTGTTGAACCTCTAGACATGGAATGTCCCAAAATATTAGGTATTAGTAAATAATGTATTTGTGCAGATCAGTTAAGGAAGAGCACCAATCATCCTTTCCCATTGGAATTTGAAAGACTGAAGTTGCTGGTTATTGAATTGTTTTGTATTTTACTAGGCAAACATTCCTGTTGCTCGTCCTCTTTCTTATTCCTGGAATTGTGATGATGGTGGCCTATGGATTAATCTCTTTGGAACTCTACCAAGGAATAAAATTTGATGTTAGCCAGAAGAAATCTGCTAAAGGTAACTATCTTTCGATTGTAAGCTTCTACCCAAAGCAGTTTCTAGAACTTAAATAAATATACCCATCATACACAGTACGTTAGAGATTTTTAAATATTCTTGTAAGACTCTGTTACATAAGGTACAGTTATGAGTCTCAACATCTGTATTTCCTCCTCTACAAAATGGGAAAATCATTCCTCTTAAAAGGATGCTGAGTGGAATAGAAATGAGAAAATATACACACACAGTATAAGCCGAAGGTCCATGTGTCCCCGGCTTTCTGTAATGTTGTATTCAAATCCAAACCCTTCAGCAAATGAAAGCTAATTGTAATTCTGGTCTTGTGTCTTTTCAAAGATATCCAAAGAGATTTTATGAGAGTGCTATATAAAAATGGAATTTTCCCATACACCTTTTGAAGCCCCCTTGTATTTAAAACCTAGTTTATTTTTAATACAGCCTAGTTGGGTTTTTTAAATCAACTCTGCCTCCATCTCTACCCCTTCTTTCTCACCACCTCCTTCCTTTCCCATTCATTACAATGCACTAGTCACTAACACTTAGCCCAACACGTTTGTCAGCATAACTTTCCCCCTCAGCATCCCATGCCCTTGTTCCTCTCTTTACTGTGTAGATAATTTAATCTCTCTAGCTTCTCTTATTTTTGTTAAGTATCTAGATTTCCCCCAATAAAAGTAATCTACAGATTGACCAAGTAAACTTTTATGTGTGGACCGGAATAAGAAAGGAATAGAGTATGAACACTCACTAGTTCTCTTGATCCCTGTCATCTACATGGATAGACATAAATTTTTGTTTCTGAAAAATAGCTTTCTATTTGAGGGAAAAGACTAGCAACAGATCAGTTCTTCCCAAGTCAATGTAGGTCCAAGGTTGCCTGGCCTGTTCTCAGTTTAGGTTCTCCTAATGAAGTGGGAAAGGGGTTCCTCGGACACGACCTAGCCCCCTAAATAAGTGTGATGTCATCGCCCACCCAGAAAGGAAACTCAGCTCGGGCAGCAGTGGCCGGTACGAGGACAGCGATGGGTGTTACCTGCGGACGTCCAAGCACCCCAGGAGGCTGGAGCTGCAGCAACTATCCACCCGCAGCAGCAGCAGCAGGGTGGGCCGCATCAGGAGCAGCAGCTCCGCAGCCAACCTGATGGCCAAGAAGCGGGTGATCCGCATGCTCATTGTCATCGTGGTCCTCTTCTTTCTATGCTGGATGCCCATTTTCAGCGCCAACGCCTGGCGGGCGTATGACACCGCTTCTGCCGAGCGCCGCCTCTCAGGGGCCCCCATCTCCTTCATCCTCCTGCTGTCCTACACGTCTTCTTGTGTCAACCCTATCATCTACTGCTTCATGAACAAACGCTTCCGCCTCAGCTTCCTGGCCACCTTCCCCTGTTGTCCCAGCCCCGGCCCCGCAGGAGTGAGAGGAGAAGTGGGAGAGGAGGAAGAAGGCAGGACCACCGGGGCCTCACTGTCCAGGTATTCCTACAGCCACATGAGTGCTTCTGCCCCACCCCCGTGAACCACCCTGGGTCCCTCCACTGCACAAGGCAGGAGTGGGGCTGGGGGAGGAAGAGAAGGAGGGAAGCAGTGAAGGAGAAGGGAGGTTTCATTTCCGGATCAAGAAGGGGGCTCCTCTAGGGTAGATCCAGGACTTGGTTTTTAGGCGGGAAATGTTCCGTGGCATTCACCATCAAAAGAAGCTGTCGGTCACAAAGGTCCGGAGTGCTGCTGCAAATATTCCAAACAGAGATATGAGTTTTAGAAGATTCTGGAACATCCAAGGTGGGCGTTCACTCCCCATAGGGAAGCACTTCTGTGCTCTGCTTCTTCTGCTGGTGTTGGACTGTGGCGACTACTCTGTCCCTGGGAACCCACCGTGCTTTCACCAATACACTGTGGTTGCCCACCTTTTTGTGACCACAAAAGGAACCTGAAGTAAAATCTCCACTGGCCATTTTCTGTAGTAAGAGAACAGGAGACCCACTGGATGTTGTCTTCTTGTGGTCAGTCATGGATGGACATTCAGTGACAAAAACAAGGTAAGTCATCATCAGAATAGCAAACAATAGAAACTGAAACTGATAGCTCTAAAAAGAAATTGGAAGAAAATCGAATATTGTCTTAATAGGGAGAATGTTAATTACCAGAAGGAGAAAACAAATACTCTTCCCACTTTAATCATATCTATTGTTGTTGTTGTTACGTGCCGAAGAGTCGGTTCCAACTCATAGCGACCCCGTATAGGGTTTCTGAGGAGCAGCTGGTGAGTTTGAAAAGCCGACCTTTCAGTTCAAACTAACCATGCAGTCCAGCACATTAACCTGCAACATCATACCAGGAGATTTATATATATATATATATATATATATTGCTTAATTCCTCTTTTATATGATGATCTTAAACCCTGTGGTTTCTGTGCCTCAATTTAATTGCTTGTACTCATGTGACACTTCTTTCTTATGCAGAAAGACCTGCAGTTAAAAAGGGAAGGTGCAAGTTATATATATATATACATACCTGGGTAAGAGTGGAAATATGGATAGTTAAGCCCAGAATAAAAACTGGCAAACTTGGATGCAGTCAATAAATAGTGTTCGAATGTCAAAGTTGACTATGCCTTTATATAGAATCTATGTATTTGCGATTCATTGTATTAATTGTACATGTGTAAACCAAATACACAAGTATGTTCTTTATGTCTTTGATGTATCAAAAAATAACCAAGAATAGTTCATGGATATTGGAATTCAGCAAGTTGTATCTTTTTTTGATTCCTTCACAAAAGTTGGTGTTGTGTTACAAATGAGTATCGAAATCTCTCTAATTTTGAAATTTCTATTTTAAATTGGATGGTGGTGGTGGTAGTGTTAAGAGTCAGTTCCGACCCATAGTAACCCTGTATAGTTGTTTCCAAGGAGCAGCTAATGAGCTTGAACCTTCAACCTTGTGATTCAAACTCGCTTTGCAGTCCAGTACATTAGCCCACAGCGCTACATATGTAGATTCCAGAAGTGCATTTATGGACAAATACTCATCAGCCTGGTCTACCAGCATAGCTGTCTTTTGTTTAGAGCACCATTATCTTATTTGTTTAAATAAATTAACATGAACATGTTTTAAGGAAACAAATTTACATGCTACTTTAGGAAGGAAAAGAGAGAGGAAGAGGAGGAGAAAGGAAGGGAAAAAAAAACCAGTGTTCAACCTAACCTTTCATACCCCCAGGCATCTGAGAAATGAGCTTTTCTTTTTCTCGCTTTCAGTAAACTGTGATTGTCCATTAACTCATGCCAGGCACTCTGCATGGAACACAAGAGCCAGTGATTCTAATTGTTGGGGGGTGGGGGGACTTTTGTGGGGGAAAGGTTAGAGAGTGGCAAGTACTTATAATAAATAGGGGAAGGGATGTTTATTCTAATATGGTAGGCATGTCACCATTTTGTTTTTCAGGGGGGGGAGAATGGTCATGTGCTAACTGAGAAGAAATGATTCAAAGTCTGACTGTTCAATATAAAGACCTTCCAAACTAGATGTCAGTTTTTCTGTTGCACATTGACAACCCTACTTATCAATCATTTTTAAAGATTGTAAAATTATAAACCAGATACCCCAGATACAGAAATACCTATTCACTGAATTTGTCGGAAGGTGTTTCACAAAATGTACTTAACAGCTTTTTTCTTCTTTAAAACAAAAATCATAAGTACATTTTGTGAAACTTTAGTAATCTGTGTTCTACTATTGGAAATGGTACTACCATCAGGTTGATATTGCTCTTTAAAAAAAGAAGAAGAAGAAGAAAGAACATTAAGTTATTATAAATACTCTGTCGAGTCAACTGTTTTTATTTCGTGCTAATTTGGATTTGAAATGAAGTGGCATATGGAATCAAGAATGGAAAGTAAATTCATCAAGTTTCTGGTCTTCTTTCTCATGTTTCCTGGTAGGTCCCATTCATCACCAGAATGGTGACATAGAACTTCAGCACTGGAATGGAGAGTCTTTCATTAAACCCTGTGCCTAGTTGTCATGGCAATCTCTCATAACAATCTTGTATCCGTTAATACCAGTGCCTGTGTGTATATGGCTTGGCTACACATGTGTTGTATACTTAATCATTGTCCTCTCCAGGAAACAAATGTCATCTTCAGGAAACAAGTGACAATTGCTGTTGAATCTCCATTGTGTTTCCTTTTAGTATTTTTTCCAATATTCGGCACACTGTAGGTACTCAATAAATGTTGTGAATTACTTCTGCTATGCTGTCTTGGCTTTTTTTGGGGGTGGGGCTCTCTTTCTGGTCACAGCAATGATTCTCAGTAGTGAAGTCACATTCTTGGAGGAGAGTAATGGTATCAGAATGTCTAGGGTTTGGGGCTTTTATTCCTACTCAGACTCACTGGTGGTTAACTTACTCAGCTGGTAACCTAAAAATTGGCGGTTCACAGGTGGAGACCTGATTGGCCAGCAGTGTGGCAAGACCTGGGGACTCTTGGGCCCAGAGTCAGGGACATAGCCACAGAGGACTAGAGTGGAAAGTGAAGTGTCCAGCTAATAAGAGAGGGCATATGCACAAGAACACCCACACTTGCAGATAATACCCACTTGACCTGGCTTCAGTAAATGGATGATCAGAGGTCAACCAAAAGAAGAAAGAAGAGGGGAAAAAGAGTAATCTGATACAATTTGATGAACTTGACCTACACCTATGGATGTAGTAGCTCAAAAGATAAAACAAATCTTTACAGCAAGGATCATTCCCACCCCCTCCACACAGAGTAGACAGGGATGGGCAACTTGGGCATTGGCTACCCAAAAAAGGGGGGGGAGGGGCTACAAAGGCAAGAAGTGACTGGCTTACAAGCTTTCAAGAGGGAACCTAGATCCAGAGGGCATGAAGAAAGGTAGAATCTCCACTGAGTAGTATCCAATCTGTCTAGGCAGGGCTGATGAAATGAAATGCGGATAGGTCTCTTGTGATACAATAGTGAATATTTGTTATCAGGACTAATTGTGAGGGTTGGAAATGTAAAAGTAGACGTTTTGTAGCAAGGAGAGGAGTGATTAACTTTTTAGTCTAGGAGCAGAGGTCCCTGGGACCATCAAGGGAGAAGAGCAGAGAACGGGACTCTACCCAGAGAAACAGTGATGCCTGAGATGGAGGCAGAGACAATGACATGGAAAGATGGAGCAGTTGGGGACTTTAGACCCAGAGAGGGAGAGGGGCTCTGTGCTGACGACCAGGAAGCAGACTTACAGTGTATACCCTGTGGTTGCTTGATGATGTATGGAGGGGACTATAACCATGACAATGAAACGATATACGATAGGATGAATATAAAACTAATGTTCTCCCATGTAAACTATCCCATAATTCACAATAAAACATTTTTTTAAAATGACATGTTTAGAGAAAAAGACAATAAAAACCAAAAAGACAAAGCGTAAAACCAAAAAAAAAAAAAAAGATTGGCCGTTCAACCAGAGGGAACTCAGAAGAAGGACTTGGTTGATCTACTTCTGAGAAATCAGCCACTCACATACATGCACAATATGGCGTTGCCATGAGTCAGAACTCAACTGCAACACTGTGTTTTGTTTTTTTCCAATTCTCTGTGTATACTTTTCCCAATATGCTGATGTGTGAATGTCCACTGCATGGTTTCCTCCCCTTTCCAGCTCTGGAGGTGGATGGCTGGAATGTAGTCAGGAGTGTTACCAATGGAAGGTGTAACTATAGGCAGTAGGAAGACACAGAGAAAACAGGTTGGAGCCCAGTTACCACCAGCCTGATGGGGCTGTGGGTTCAACATTGGATTGCTAGCCACAAAGTTGATCATTCAAGTCCACCCGCTGCTCCAGGGGAGAAAGATGAGACTTTCTGCTCCGCTAAAGATTTACAGCCTCAGAAACCCTATCAGGGTTGTTATGAGTCGGACTGGACTTAATGTCTACTGCTTAGACTTCACTTTGCCTCTTTCCCGTCCTCATTCCCATTCAGGAGAGCAGAAAAACAAAACACAAAACTGTTTTGAATCACCACATTTCTAGTACCCAATTCACTCGTTGTTGGGTGTCATGGAGTCAGTTGTGACTGATAGTGGAATGATATCACTGAGTAGAACTATCTAATAGGGTTTTCTAGTCTGTGATCTTTATGGGGAGTCCTGATGTGGTGCCGTGGGATAAAGCACTGGACTGCAAGGTCGCTTTGAACCACAAGGTCAGTGGTTCAAACTCACCAGCCGCTCCTTGGAAAGCTTGTACAGGGTCACTATGAGTTGGAACCCACTTGACGGCACTTAACAACTAAAAATAGTCTATATGGGAAGAAATTGTTAAAGCTCTCAGCTGCTAACCAAAAAGTTAATGGTCTGAACCCACCAGCTACTCCATGGGAAAAAAGATGTAGCCGTCTCCTTCCGTAAAAGTTTGCAGCTCTGGAAACCTTTAGGGGTGGGTCTACTCTGCCCTATAGGGTCTCAATAAATTGGAATGGACTCTACAGCAATGAGTCAATCCATCTCCTTAAGGGGTCTTCCTCTTTTTTTG